AAATTGGATGATTATAACCTGATTTCAAAGCTTACGGTAAATATGGTAATTAAGCAAGTACGATTTTGGAACTGACAAACTGGTCAATGAAACAAAAGAAATACAGATTTTTTTCCCAGGTTTTTTTAATAAAGATGCAAGGGTAACAGGGTAACAAAGCGGAAATCATAAATCTTTTCAATTAATGGTGCCGAACAACTGGAGACCTGCACAATAAAAAGGATTTTTACGTTACACTCAAAATGTATAAATGTAAAAGCTATAAAATTTCTCAAGAAAACATAAGAAAAGTTTTGCAATCTTAGGCAAAGATCATACAAGGACACAGAACAAACCATACAAGAAAAAAAAACTGACAAAATTTGGACTTCATAAAATATAAAAACATCTGCTCTTTGAGGGTCACTGTTAAAGTTAAAACACTTCACAGATGCAATGGCTCACACCTGTAATTCCGGCACTTTGGGAGGCTAAGACAGGAGGATAGTTTAAGCTCAGGAGTTAGGGACCAGTCTGGGCAACACAGCAAGACCTCGTATCTACTTTAAAAAAAAAAATCAAAAAATTAGCCAGGCTTGGTGGCACATGCCTGCAGTACTAGCTACTCAGCAGGCTAAGGAAGGAGAATCATTTGAGCCCAGGAAGTCAAGGCTGCAGTAAGCCGAGATCACGCCACTGCACTTCAGCCTGAGTGACAGAGCGAGACCGTGTCCCCAAAAAATAAATAAACAAATAAAAAGAGAATTTAAAAACAAGCCACAGACTGGGAGGAAGATTTATAATACAGACATACCTAGATTTGATAATTCAGTAAGAAGACAATCTGCCCAATTAAAAATGAACAAAGAGGGGCCGGGTGCGGTGGCTCACACCTGTAATCCCAGCACTTTGGGAGGCTGAGGTGGGCGGATCAAAAGGTCAGGAGATCAAGACCATCCTGGCTAACACGGTGAAACCCCGTCTCTACTAAAAATACAAAAAAAATTAGCCAGACATGGTGACTGGTGTCTGTAGTCCCAGCTATTCGGGAGGATTAGGCAGGAGAATGGCGTGAACCCGGGAGGCAGACCTTGCAGTGAGCTGAGATCGCGCCACTGCACTCCAGCCTGGGCGACAGAGCGAGACTCTGTCTCAAAAAAAAAAAAAAGAACAAGGGGGACATCTAAAAAAAATGGACAAAAAAATTTTAGATATTTCAGGAAAGAGATATAATTGGCCAAAAAGCACATGAAAAGATGCTCATCATTAGTCATGAGGAAACTAAAATTTAAATCATGATGAGATTGCGCTAAACTAACTAGAATATCTAAGTCTAAAAAGCACCAAGTGCAACTGGGCACAGTGGCTCACACCTGTAATCCCAGCACCCAGGGAGACTGAAGCAGGTGGATCACTTGAGGCCAGGAGTTCCTGACCAGTCTAGCCAACATGGCGAAACCCCATCTCTACTGAAAAAAAAAAAAAAAAAAAAAAAAAAAAACCTAGCCAGGCATAGTGGTGCACGCCTGTAGTCCCAGCTACGCAGGAGGCTGAGGCACAATCATCACTTGAACTCAGGAGGCAGAGATTACAGTGAGCCGAGATGGAATCACTGCACTCTAGCCTGGGTGACACATGGAGACTGCCTCAAAAAACAAATTAACAAAATATTAAAGACAGGCCGGGCACGGTGGCTCATGCCTGTAATCCCAGCACTGTGGGAGGCCAAGCGGGTGGATCAGGAGGTCAGGAGTTCAAGACCAGCCTGACCGAGATGGTGAAACCCTGTCTCTACTAAAAATACAAAAATTAGCTGGGCGTGGTGGCAGGCACCTGTGATCCCAGCTACTCGGGAGGCTGAGGCAGAGAACTGCTTGAACCTGGAGGCAGAGGCTGCAGTGAGCCGAGGTCACATCACTATACTCCAGCCTGTGCAACAGTGAGGCTCCATCTCAAAAAAAAAAGGTAAAAAAACTAAAATTAAAAAAAATTTAAAAATTAAAAATAGGCCAGGCACACTGCCTCAGACCTGTAATCCCAGCACTTTGGGAGGCCAAGATGGGCGGATCAAGAGCTCAAGAGATGGAGACCATCCTGGCCAACTTGGTGAAACCTCATCTCTACTAAAATTACAAAAATTAGCCGGGCATGGTAGCACGCGCCTCTAGTCCCAGCTACTCGGGAGGTTGAGGCAGAAGAATCACCTGAACCCAGAAGGCAGAGGCTGCAGTGAGCCGAGATCGCTCCACTGCACTCCAGCCTGGATGACAGAGCAAGACTTCGTCTCAAAATAATAATAATAATAATAATAATAATAATGATGATGATAATAAGGCCGGGTGCAGTGGCTCACGCCTGTAATCCCAGCACTTTGGGAGGCCAAACTGAAGTCCAGAGTTTAAGACCACCCTGATGAACATGTAGAAACCCCGTCTTACTAAAAATACAAAATTAGCCAGGCATGGTGGCGCATGCCTGTAATCCCAGCTATTTGGGAGGCTGAGGCAGGAGAATCCCTTGAACCCAGGAGGCGGAGGTTGCAGTGAGCTGAGAGGGCGCCATTGCACTCCAGCCTGGGCAACAAGAGCGAAAACTCCATCTCAAAAAATAACAATAATAAAATAAAATAAAAATAAAAAATAAAAACACCAAGTGTGGGTAAAATGTGGAGTAACTAGAAGTCACTCACTCATTGCTGGGAGGAATGTAAAATGGTACACCACTATGGAAAAGAGTTTGGCAGTTTCTTATAAAGTTAAACATACAGAATTTACCCCTAAATATTTACCTAAGTCACATGAAAGCCTAATATTTACAAGAAGCCTTGTAAACAAATACTCATAGTAGCTTTATTCACAATGGCCAGTAGTTGTAAGCAACTCAAATATCCATCCATATATCACGGACAAAACACAGTTATGTCCATACCATGGAATACGACTCAGCCATAAAAAGGAACAAAATACTATACACACGAAGATATGAATGAAATCTCATAAACACATGCTAAGCAAGAGAAGCCAGACACAGAAGAATACATACTATATGATTTCACTTAATATTAGAAAACACAAAACGTATTTATAGTAACAGAAATAGCTATCTAAGGCAGGTAGAGTACAAAATAACTGTAAAAGGGCACAAGAGAACTTCTGTGGGGTAATGGAAGTGTTCTGTATTTTTATTATGGCAGTGCGTTACATAAGTACATATGTTAGTTAAAACTCATTGAGCTCAGCCGGGCGAAGTGGCTCATGCCTGTAATCCCAGCACTCGGGGAGGCCCAGGCAGGTGGATTACTTAAGGTCAGGAGTTCCAGACCAGCCTGGCCAACATGGTGAAATCCAGTCTCTACAAAAATACAGGCCACGCACGGTGGCTCATGCATGTAATCCCAGCACTTTGGGAGGCCGGTGTGGGCGGATCACCTGAGGTCAGGAGTTCCAGACCAGCCTGCCCAACATGGTGAAACCCCGTCTCTACTAAAAATATAAAAATTAGTCAGACACAGTGACTTACACCTGTAATCCCAGCTACTCGGGAGGCTGAGGAAGGAGAATTGCTTGAACCTGGGAGGGAGAGGTTACAGTTAGTCGAGATTGCCACTGCACTCCAGCCTGGGCAACAGAGTAAGACTCATCTCCCAAAAAAAACAAAAAAACAACAACCAAAAAAAAAACCACCTCATTGAGCTCTACAACAGAATTTTTTTTTAATTATTTTATTACTATTATTTTTTTAATTTTCTTTTTAAATAGAGACAGGGTCTCATTGCAACCTTGACCTCCTAGGCTCAAGTGATCCTCCCATCTCAGCCTCCTGCACAGCTGGGACAACAGGGCAAATAGCTGAGACTACTGTGCACTCCACCACGCAGCCCCCAAGATGTTTTTATGTTGTTGTTGTTTTTGTTTTTTTAAGGCAGAGTCTTGCTCTGTCGCCCAGTCTGGAGTGCAATGACACAATCTGAACTCACTGCAACCTCCGTCCCCCAGGTTCAACCAATTCTGGTAACTCACCCTCCCAAGGAGCTGTGCTTACAGGCATACACCACCAAGCCCGGCTAATTTTTCATATTTTTAATAGAGACAGGGCTTCGCCATTTGCCCAGGCTGGTCTCAAACTCCTGAGCTCACGCAATCCACCTGCCTCGGCCTCCCAGAATGCTAGGATTACAGGCGTGAGCCACCGAGCCTGGCCCAAGGTACTATTTTTTTTGAGACAAGGTCACTCAGTCACCCAGGCTGGAGTACAGTGGCACAATCTGGGATCACTGCAACCTCTGCCTCCAAGGTTCAAGCAATTCTTGTGCCTCAGCCTCCTGAGTAGGTGGGATTACAGGCGTGTGCCACCACGCCCAATTAATTTTTGTATTTTTAATAGAGATGAGGTTTTTTTGTTTTTTTTGGTTTTTTTTTTTTGAGACAGTCTGTCACCCAGGCAGGAGTGCAGTGGCACCATCTCAGCTCACTGCAACCTCCGACTCCCAGAGTCAAGTGATTCTCGAGCCTCAGCCACCCCAGTAGCTGGGACTACAGGCGCACATCACCACGCCCGGCTAATTTTTGTATTTTTAGTAGAGTCGGGGTTTCGTGCCACGTTGGCCAAGCTGGTCATGAACTCCTGACCTGCGGTGATCTACCCGCTGAAAGTCTGGGGCTTGAGCCACCGCACCCCTGACGTGCTTTTTATGAATGTAAATTAGATGTCAATAAAGCTGATAACAGTTTCTGAAAGGATTATCTTAACTTCATAGATTTTACTTTGTATATATATGTTCAGTAAGTTAAATGAAATCATAATACAAAACACTGCTGAGATTTAAACTCTGAAGTTTGAAGAAAGTACATGACTCCTGACTCCTACAGGTACACAAAAATTTCTTATTTGTATTCACTGAATATTTACTCAACACCTACTTACCATATGCTAATATGAACTGCAAGGAAAGACAGAATTCCAGAACAAAGAGAAGCCCATATGTAACTGGATAGAAGGAGGACAAGATATTTAAAACTTACGTTGTTAGCAAGAATGCCCCATCACCACATCTTTCCAGAGCCTTTCGTGCAGGAGGTTTTGCTGCAAATTCTACAAAACCTTTTCCCGTAGCTCTACCGCGATCATCCACAACCACAACAGCTTTCTCTACTGGACCAAACTGAGAAAATGCTTGCTCTAGCAGCTCATTGGAAACAACTGGAGAAAGGTTCTTGACAGTTAAGGCAGCTCCATGCGTAGCAAAGCGAATTCGTAGAGGTCTGCTCTTCAAAATAGTGCCATCCAGCTCTGCTTTTGCAATTTCAGCCAGTGTTCTGGATTCCTTTTTAGGAAGAAAAAACATTGTTAGAAGATGACAGTAACAGAAAAAATTTAAAACACTCTTTGGCTTCTAGGGAGAACGAGGTAGCTTTAGCAAATGGCTGACAGGGTCGACTTGATTTTGTATCTTTTAACTTTGGTATCACAGGGTTTTTAACTATTCAATCATCATTTTAAACATTTTAATTAAAAGGTCCGAACTCCGTTGTTTTGTTAAAAGTAATCATTTAAAGATTAGCTCCTCATAAGGCCAGTTACCAACTATTAAATATTCAAAGCAATATAGTTTTAAAATATCCTACATATATTAAAAACATATTAATAACTTGACTAGAGGCTGGGCACAGTGGCTAACCCCTGTAATCCCAGCACTTTCAGAGGCCGAAGCGGGCGGATCACCTGAGGTCAGGAGTTTGAGACCAGCCTAGCCAACATGGTGAAAACCCATCTCTACTAAAAATACAAAAATTACCTGGGCGTGGTGGCGGACGCCTTAATCCCAACTACCTGGGAGGCTAAGGCAAGAGATCTCTTGAACCTAGGAGGCAGAAGTTGCAGTGAGCCGAGATGGTGCCACTGCACTCCAGCCTAATCAACAGAGCAAGACTCTGTCTCAGAAAAAATAAAAATAAAAAATAATAGTAACTTGGCTAGAAACTATCATCAAAGGAATAATTCTCTCCATACCCTTATGTTCTTCATCTCTTTTCTTTTTTTTTTTTGAGACAGAATCTGGCACCGTCACCCGGGGCTAGAGCACAATGGTGCACTCTCGGCTCACTGTAACCTCTGCCTCCCGGGTTCCAGAGATTCTCCTGCCTCAGCTTCCTGAGTAGCTGGGACTACAGGTGAACGCCAGCACGCCCAGCTAATTTTTGCATTTTTAGTAGAGACGGGGTTTCACCATGTTGGGCAGGCTGGTCTCGAACTCCTGACCTCGAGATTCGCCCACCTCAGCTTCCCAAAGCGTTGGGATTACAGGCATGAGCCACCGCACTCGGCCTGTTTTTTATGTCTTAATAAAACATCCCGCCTCTGTACAGCCAGACAAATCACCTTTTCTTTTTATTTTCATTTCTTTTCAATAATATATGTAAAAACTATTAGTTCTTGGGTTTTTTTTCAGGGGAGGGAGGTGTCCTGAGACAGGGTCTTACTCTATTGCCCAGCCTGGAGTACAGTGGCACAATCATAGCTTACTGCAGCCTCACACTCTGGGGCTCAAGGGATCCTCCTGCCTCACCCTCCCGACTAGCTGGGATTACGGATGTATGCCACCAAGTCTGGCTAATTTTTTAATTTTTTGTAGAGATGGGGGGTCTCACTATATTGCCTATGCTGGTCTCTTGAACTCCTGGCCTCAAGCAGTCCTCTCGCCATAGCCTCCCACAGTGTGAGATTACAGGTGTGAGCCCCCTTGCTCTAGCCAATGTCTTATTAATGACTTCTCCTGAAATACTGGCATGGGTTACACATTTCTCACCATCACATGAAGAGAAACAAAGGCAACATTCATGAGCTATAACAGTTCTCGCCATTAAGAAGCAAGTGTACATATGCACTTATTATAAACTAAAAAATATGCTCATTGCTGAAACTACAAGGTAAGAGAACTTCCTTCTACTTGGAGAATTCAAAGTTGGTGTAGAATATGGGCAGCACCTAAAACAATAAATAAGGAACTGGTAAATGTAATAGCGGTACGTCTTTTTCACTGTGTTATGGGAACTCTCCAGGGACAACTGAAGAGGCTTTACATGTATATGTAAGAAGAATACAAACATACTATCTTATGAAAAATGTCTTAAGGTCACAAGAGCTCTTTATTCCATCCCTAAAATGTTCATGACAGCTTGAAATTATTGCCCTTTATTGCAAAAATCTACCTATAGAATTATTTTTCCAAAAACAAATGAAGTTGCCCTTTTTAGAGACATACTCATCCCTCTGTATCCAAGGATTCAACCAGAAGTAGATCAAAAATATTTAGGGCCAGGCCCAATGGCTCACACCTGTCATCCCAGCACTTTGGAAAGCTGAGGCAGGCAGATCACTTGAGGTCAGGAGTTCAAGACCTGCCTCCTGGCCAACATGGCAAAACCCAGTCTCTATCAAAAAATACAAAAATTAGCTGGGGCATGGTAGTAAGCACCTGTAGTCCCAGCTACCTGGGGGGCTGAGGTGGGAGAATCTCTTGAACCCAGAAGGCAGAGGTTGCAGTGAGCCGAGATCACACCACTGCACTCCAGCCTGGGTGACAGGGAGAGACTCGGTGTCAAAAAAGAAAAAAGAAAAGAAAACATTCGGGAAAGAAACAATTTAAAATAATACAGACAGGCAGGGTAAGAGGACTCACACCTGTAATCCCAGCACTTTAAGCCAAAACAGGAAGAATCGTTGAGGCCAGGAGTTTAAGACCAGCCTAGGTACAACAGGAAGACCTCGTCTTTATTCCTTTAAAATAAAAAATAAAATTTAAATAAAAGAAAATAAAATAGGCTGGGTGCAGTGGCTCATGCCTGCAGTCCCAGCACTTTAGGAGGCCGAGGTGGGCAGATCACGAGGTCAGGAGTTCGAGACCAGCCTAGCCAGCATGGTGAAACCCCGTCTCTACTAAAAATACAAAAATACAAAAAAAAAAAAAAATTAGCCAGGCATGTGGCATGTGGCTGTAGTCCCAGCTACTCCGGAGGCTGAGGCAGAATCGCTTGAACCCGTGAGGCAGAGGATGCAGTGAGCTGAGACAGCGCCACTACACTCAGGCCTGGGTGATAGAGCAAGAATCCATCTCAAATAGATAACTAAATAAACCAAATAATACAGCATAACAGCTATTCATATAGCATTTACATTGTACTAGGTATTATAAGTAATCTAGAGATGATTTAAAGTATACAGGAGGATTGCATGGGTAATATGGAAAAACAATGCCATTTTTACACAGTATAAGGATTTGAGCATCTACGAATTTTAGTACTAGAGGAGGTCCTAGAATCAATCCCCCCCAGATACTGAGGGATGATTGCATTCTAAACAGTCGTTTTGTTTATTGCTTTTAACTCACTAGTAATAGTAGTAGCGGTTAGTAAACACCTAAAAAGAGATGGGCACTTTCTTACCTAATACATCATATAATCCAACAACTCTTGAGAAGTAGACTTTAGAAACAGTCTTGAAAGTAAGAATAGGGCCAGGCGCAGTGGCTCACGCCTGTAATCCCAGCACTTTGGGAGGCTGAGGCAGACGGATCACGAGGTCAGGAGATCAAGACCATCCTGGCTAACATGGTGAAACCCCGTTTCTACTAAAAATACAAAAAAATTAGCCGGGTGTGGCGGTGTGCGCCTGTAGTCCCAGTTGCTGGGGAGGCTGAGGCAGGAGAATGGCGTAAACCCGTGAGGCGGAGCTTGCAGTGAGCCAAGATCGCGCAATTGCACTTCAGCCTGGGTGACAGAGCAAGACTCCATCTCAAAAAAAAAAAAAAAAAAAAAAGAAAGAGAGAATAGGAAAAAATATGAAGACATTTTATGGGGTGATAACATGTATATTTTGATAGGGGTTTGAGTTAAACATATACATTTGTCAAAATTCACAAACCAGTGGCCAGGCATGGTGGCTCACACCTGTCATCCTAACACTTTGGGAAGGTGAGGCAGAGGGATCACTTAAGCCCAGGAGTTTGAGACCTGCCTGGGCAACATGAGAGAGACCTTGTCTCTACAAAAAACAAACAAAATTAGCCGGGTGTGGTGGTGTGTGCTTGTGGTCCCCGCAACCTGAGGGGCTGAGGTGTGAGGATCACTTGAGCCCAGGAAGTCCAGGCTTGATCAAGTGAGCCATGATCATGCCACTGCACTCCAGTCTGGGCACTCTGTCTCGAAAGAAAAAAAAAGAAAAAAAAAATCACCAACCAGTATACTTAAAATTTGTGCCGTTTACTATATGTAAATTTTTTTTTTTTTGAGACTGAGTCTCGCTCTGTCACCCAGGCTAGAGTGAGTGGCGCCATCTCAGCTCACTGCAAGCTCCGCCTCCCGGGTTCACGCCATTCTCCTGCCTCAGCCTCCTGAGTAGCTGGAACTACAGGCGCCTGCAACCACGCCCGGCTAATTTTTTTGTATTTTTAGTAGAGACGGGGTTTCACCGTGTTAGCCTGGATGGTCTCGATCTCATGACTTTGTGATCCGCCCGCCTCAGCCTCCCAAAGTGCTGGGATTAGAGGCATGAGCCACCGCGCCCGGCCAAAAAAGGTAACTTTTGCATAAAAATGTTCACCAAATGGCGAGCTGTTTATCTAATGTCCAAAAAATAAAGAAATGCATTTATAATATTCAAAATGTAATGATTTAACCCGAATTGTAAGGAAATTTCCCTATTTCATTATTATTAGCAGTTGTGAATATTTGCCCTTCTCTTGAAGCCGCTCACATGTTGAAATGTTTGCCCTAAAAAATACAGTCTCTTGGCTGGGTGCCGTGGCTCACCCTTGAAATCCCAGCACTTTGGGAGGCCGAGGCGGGTGGAGCACGAGGTCAAGAGGGCGAGACCATCCTGGCCAAGGTGGGTGAAACCCCCTCTCTACTAAAAATACAAAAATTAGCTGGTCGTGGTCGCATGCGCCTGTAGTCCCAGCTGGGAGGCTGAGGCAGGAGAATCGCTTGAACCCGGTAGGTGGAGGATGCAGTGAGCCAAGATCCCGCCACTGCACTCCAACCTGGTGACAGAGCAAGATTTCGTCTCAAAAAAACAGTATCTTAAAGGTTTTAGAAGTACATTAATTTTTTAAAAAAGAAAAAAGTAATAAAAATACAGTACCACGTAACTACAATTTTCTCTACATATTAAGATTTTGTATCGTCCAGACAGAGAACCCAATTTTGAAAGTCAAAGCTCCAGGCTGGGCACAGTGGCTCACCCTGTAATTCCAGCACTTTCGGAGGCCAAGGCGGGAGGATCGCTTGAGCCCAGAAATTCGAAAGCAATCTGGGCAACATGGCGAAACGCTGCCTCTACAAAAAATTACAAAAATTAGGCGGGCTTGGGGGTGCATGACTGTAGTCCCCGCTACTCGGGAGGCTGAGGCAGGAGAACTGCTTGAGCCCAGGAGCTGAGATCACGCCACTGTACTCTACCCCGGGTGATAGAGCGAGACCCTGTCTCAAAAAAAAAAGGGGGGGGGCGTAAACGTTTGCTATTTTTGTTTTGTTTTGTTTTGTGATCTCAGCTCACTGCAGCCTCTGCCTCAGCCTCCCAAGTAACTGGGACTACAGGCGTGCACCACCACGCCCAGCTAATTTTTGTATTTTTAGTAGAGATGGAGTTTGGCCAGGCTTGTTCAAATTTTTAAAAAATAGAAAGGAATCACAATTTTTGCATAAATTATTGGAAAACTTTTCAAAATTTAGATTACAAGAGAGTAAGCTATATTACTCTGATACTAGGGTATGTATCAGTCATTTATGAAGTAGTACTGTGTATCTATTCTCCCCCTATAAAAACGTGGAACTCTCCAGGATGTTTGGTAGAAAAACACTGTATTAGACACATAAAATTAAACACCGTCCCATTACCGCAGATTAAACGGTGTTACTTGAGTACAGAGTTTGGGCACCTAAGCAGTTTGAGGTAAAAAGCAGGCTGCACTGAGGTGAGAAATCAAGTGGGAGTCCAAGGCAGGAGGATCGCTCGTGCCCAGGAGTTCGAGACTAGCCTGGGCAACATGGCGAGACCCCATTTCTATTAAAATAAATAAATTTAATTTAGAAAGAAAGTGGTCTACCCTTAAACGCATATAGGTGTCGTTGAAGCCAAGGATGGGATGCGAATAACTGTCTAGGCAGCAAGTCTCCTGGAGAGACCCTCACCACAGTGATCCGTCTGCTGCGACTGAAGCTTCCGTTCCAAATTGACGTTCAATTCGTTTCTATTGTGGCACGATTTTTGCCTTGAAGAATTCTCATCCCAAAACGCCGCCCGCCCCTGCCCCCGGGCCCCTTCGGTACCCGGGCAACGGGGAACCCTGGAGCGCCCGCGGCCTGAGCGAGGGCACCATGCCCGGGCCAGCGCCGGGCAGCAGGCCCGCAGCCACCGAGAGCACGACCGGCGCGCGGCGGAAAACGGCGGCCACCGAGAGCGCAGGAAATCCCGGGACCGCGAACTCGAAACCCGAGGGGAAGCGGCCAATCCCGCCCAGGGGAATCGGTGAGGCCGAGGGGCGCCACGGCTGCCACAGCTCACGGGGACGGCGTCCTCGGACGAGCGGGGCCTCAGCCCCACGGCCCCGCGGCCGCCCCGGCAGCCCTTTTGTTCCCTCGCGCGGGCGGCCTGACACTCACCAGGCGGATGAAGCCGAAGCCACGGTCCCGGTTGATGAAGACTTCGCTGGGCTCGCCATAGCGTTCGAAGAGCCTCTTGAAGTCCTCCTCCGTGATGTCGGTGGGCAGGTTCCCCACGAACAGGCGGCAGCGCTGCGTGTACGTCTTCTCGCCCGGCTTGAGGAAACTCTTGATGTCGATAGTGAACCCCATCTCCTCGTCCGGGTGGTCCTCCGGCGGCGCGGCCGCGGGCGGTGCCGGCTCCCCCGCAAGCGCGAGCGCCATGGCTGCTGCGGCCGCCGGCTCGCTCTCGCCCGCCGCGGACTCCAGGGCGCGAAGGCGGGCCGGGTTTTTCTCAATGCGCACTTGCTTCAGGTTTCCTCTTAACATCATCTTAGGGAGTTCGCCTCGGACGCCGGACACAGGCCTAGATTTCTATATAGCGTGTCTATATATATGTATACGTCTCTAGATAAACCTATGGCAACAAAATATCGACAATCAAGAGACCGCTATGTAGACGAGTCGGCAACTCGTCCTCCGCCGACTCACACCCGCGGCAGCCGCACATTCAAAATGGCGCTGCCACAAACTGCAGTTGGAAGAAGAGACGCCGGCGCAAGCCCCGCCCCTCCGCCAAAGCCGGCGCCGGAATGACGCGCCTGCGCATTTCCCGGCACCAAAAAGGACCGTTGACTCGGACTGCGCATGCGCACGTGCACTGGACAAACCTCCTCCCGGTACGGGGAAGATGTCCCTTTCCATCCTGCTAAAATAGCAAGACTGTTGTTGGCTGTACTCTTGGGACAAATCATGTGATGCGTGCAGCAGTGTGTGAAAATACAATGACTTGGGTAAACATCCTTACCCTTTTAGATATCAAGCTCAATTTTCTGTTTGTTTTGTTTTTTGAGACTGAGTCTGGCTCTGTCGCCCAGGCTGGAGTGCGGTGATGCGATCTCGGCTCACTGCAAGCTCCGCCTCCCGAGTTCCCGCCATTCTCCTGCCTCAGCCTCCCGAGTAGCTGGGATTACAGGCGCCGCCACCTCGCCCGGCTTTTTTTTTTTTTTTTTTTTTTTTGTATTTTTAGTAGGGACAGGGTTTCACCGTTAGCCAGGATGGTCTCGATCTCCCGACCTCGTGATCCGCCCGTCTCGGCCTCCCAAAGTGCTGGGATTACAGGCGTGAGCCACCGCGCCCAGCCCAAAATGTTCTTTATAAATAAAATACCTATTTATAATAAATGTGTTCCCCTGAGTTTTTTTTTTTTTTTCAGACGGAATCTTGCCCTGTCGCCCAGGCTGGAGTGCAGTGGCGCGATCTCGGCTCACTGCACCCTCTGCCTCCCAGGTTTAAGCAAGTCTCTGCCTCAGCTTCCTGAGTAGCTGGGACTACAGGCATGCACCACCACGCTAGGCTACTTTTTGTACTTTTAGTAGAGATGGGGTTTCTCCATGTTGGTCAGGTTGGTCTCAAACTCCCTACCTCGGGTGATCTGCCTGAGATTACAGGTGTGAGCCACCGCACCTGGCCAAAGAAAAAAAATTTTTTTTTAATTAGCAGGCATAGTGGCATGTACCTGTAGTCCTAGCTACTAAAGAGGCTGAGGTGGGAGGATAGCTTGAGCCCAGGAGGTCCAGGCTGCAGTCAACTAGGATTGCAGTCAACTAGGATTGCGTGAAAGCACTCTGGCTTGAATGACAGAGAAAGACTCAGGGAAAAATGTGTGTTTGCTTGGGGGAACTCAGCATAACCCGTTTGTCCAGATTCTTCGTGTCTCTGTGTAGCATTCCCTTCCTCTGTGTATCAGGCAGGACCCATGTCACATAAGGGTCTATGACCTACTTTCAGAAGAAGTAAGTCAGAGAGTAATCTTTCTCAATTTCATAGCTTGCTTTAGGAGAGAAATAGTGGGGTCGGGGAGTGGGGAGGTAGGCAGGTGGGAGGATAAAGAGGCGGGAGAAGGTCAGAGAGAGACCATCTGGCTTCTGAGGCACTCCTGCCTCCTTCAGCTAAAAAACAACCAGAATGCCAATGTGCCATACTTAGGGGTACTGTGTTAAAAGCCCCAGTAACTGCTTTTGTCTCTAGCAAAACAAAACACTCTCTAGGGAAATGCAGCAGATTCCTTCCAAGTTTAAGATATGGATTCTGTGAAAGAAAAAATTATGACTGGCAATTAAAAAATGAAGGCAGAGGCCAGGTGCAGTGGCTCACTCCTGTAATCCCAGCATGTTGGGAAGCCAAGGCGAGCAGATCACAAGGTCAGGAGTTCGAGACCAACCTGACCAACATGGAGAAACCCCACCTCTATTAAAAATACAAAATTAGCCAGGCATGGTGGTGCGTGCCTGCAGTCTCAGCTACTCGGGAGGCTGAAGCAGGAGAATCGCTTGAACCCAGGAGGTGGAGGTTGTGGTGAGCCGAGATCATGCCATTGAACGCCAGCCTGGGAAACAAAAGCGAAACTCTGTCTCAAAAAAAAAAAAAAATAGAATGCAGAGAGACTACCCCACTGCCAGAAAAGAAAACTGTTTCAGTGATATTTGTTAAGGTACATCAGGTGGCCAGGCGCGGTGGCTCACGCCTGGAATCCCAGCACTTTGGGAGGTCCAGGCAGGCGGATCACTTGAGGTCAGGAGTTCAAGACCAGCCTGGCCAACATGGCAAAACCCTGTCTCTACTAAAAATACAAAAAATTAGCCAGGTGTGGTGGTGGGTGCCTGTAGTCCCAGCTATTCGGGAGGCTGAGGCAGGAGAATCGCGTGAACCTGGGAGTGGAGGTTGCAGTGAGCCGGATTGTGCCACTGCACTCCAGCCTGTGCGACAGAGCAAGACTCTGTCAATAAATAAATAAATAAATAAATAAAAATTTAAAAAGCACATCAGGAAGACTTTACTCAGGACTATGGAGATCAGTATAGGAACTACTGCAATGGGGTCTTGCAGCTGGAAGGATTGGGCTAAATTTTGAATCCAGCACAGGCAAGTGGGAATTTATAGCCAAGGAGCAGGGCAGGAGTGAGTGAGAAGAATCACTGAGAGGAAACATCGGGATGAGGGAGAGTCTGTCTAGACCAACCTACCAGAATTTTTGCGAAAAACGGGCCAGGGTGACCAGACCCCGGGAGGAGGGTGAAGGATGAGGATCCTAAGTGTGGGAAATTCTTGCTGAATTGACTTGGCAAGGTTCTTTGCTAAAACTGGATTTTACGAGGAAGCACACAGATGGGCCTGAGAGGAGGTTTAGGAGCCTGACCAAAGTTTCACCAAGCAGAGAATCTTTCTCAATTTTCATAATTTAAGACCAGTCAAACAAAAGTTACAAAATATATAAAGAAATAATCTGTCATAAGGAAGAGTCAATAGGAAAAAAGAAGGTGAGTTGAATTTCAGGCACTTGAATGATTATATAGCATGCAAAATAATATTACTTAAAGTGTTTACACAAATAAAAGAGGGAATAGTAAGAACAAAAAAGAGTATAAAAAAGAATGAGGTACAGTATCAAGACAAGATAACCTACAGAATGGAAGAAAATATTTGTAAATCATATATCTGGTAAGGGACTAATAGCTTTTTTTTTTTTTTTTTGAGATGGAGTTTCGGTCTTGTTGTCCAAGGCTGGAGTACAGTGGCACGATCTCGGCTCACTGCAACCTCTGCCTCCCAGATTCAAGCAATTCTGTCTGCCTCAGCCCCCCAACTTGCTGGGATCACAGGCATGCGCAACCACACCCAGCTAATTTTGTATTTTTAGTAGAGATGGGGTTTCACCATGTTGTCCAGGCTGGTCTCAAACTTCTGACCTCAGGTGATTCACCCTCCTCGGCACCTCAGGTGATTCACCCTCCTCAGCCTTCCAAATGCTGGGATTACAGGCATGAGCCACTGAGCTCGGCCATATCTTTTTTTTTTTTTTAAGAGACAGGGTCTTGCTTAATATCAAGCATATAAAGAACTCTTATAACTCAAAAACTTGACAGAAACAAAGAGGCCGGGCACAGTGGCTCATGCCTGTAATCCCAGCACTTTGGGAAACTGAGATGGGAGGATCACTTGAGGCCAGGAGTTCAAGGCCAGCTTGGTCAACACAGTGAAATCCCCATCTCTAAAAAATAAAAAAATAAAAAAAAAAAATAGTCAGGAGAGGTGGCTCACCTTGGAAGGCCAAGTTGGGAGGATCACTTGAGGCCAGGAGTTTGGGACCAGCCTGGGCAATATAGCAAGACCCCCCCATCTCCATAAACACACACAGAATTAGCCAGGCATGCTGATACGCACCTGTCCAAGCTACCTGGGAAGCTGAGGCAGGAGAATCCCTTCAACAGGGGAGGCGGTGGTTGCAGTGGGCTGAGATTGGGCCACTGCACTCCAGCCTGGGGAACAGAGCAAGACTCCCTATCAAAAAATTAAAAAAAAAAAAAAGAAGAAGAAGAAGAGAAAAACATTTGTTTTCGAAAGACAACCCTAAGGCTGGGCGCGGTGACTCACATCTGTAATCCCAGCACTTTGGGAGGCCCAGGCAGGCAGATCACCTGAGGTCAGGAGTTCAAGTTCAAGACCAGCCTGGTCAACATGGGGAAACCCCGTCTCTACTAAAAATACAAAAAATTAGCTGGGTACGGTGGCACACACCTGTAATCCCAGCTACACTTGGGAGGCTGAGGCAGGAGAATTGCTTGAACCTGGGAGGTGGAGATTGCAGCGGGCCAAGATCACATCACTGCATTCCAGCCTGGGCAACAGAGCGAGACTCCGTCTCAAAAAACAAACAAACAACAATAAAAAAACACTTGACAAAAAAGGCAAAAAAAAAAAAAAAAAAAAAAAAAAAAAAGACTTGTACACTGTTAACTACAAAACATTCCTGAAAGATTAAAAAAAATTTTTTTTTAAATTATTTGAGATGGAGTCTCACTCTGTCACCTAGGCTGGAGTGCAGTGACATGATCTTGGCTCACTTCAACTTCCCACTCCCAGACTCAAGCAATCCTCCTGTCTCAGCAATTCTCTTACCTCAGCCTCCCGAGTAACTGGGATTATAGGCATGCACCACCACGCCCAACTAATTTTTGCATTTTTAGTAGAGACAGGGTTTCACCACATTGGCCAGGCTGGTCTCAAACTTCTGACCGTAGGTGATCCGCCCGCCTCAGCCTCCCAAAGTGCTGGGATTACAGGCGTGAGTCACTGTGCCTGGCCCGGTCAACAATTTTTAACAAGGATGTCAAGATCATTCATTAGGGAAAGACCAGTTTTTTCAGCAAATGGTGCTGGCAAAAGTGGAGATACATGTTCAAAAGAATGAAGTTGGGCCCTTATTATACACCACATACACAATTAACTCAAAAGGTGTGTCAAATGCCTAAGTGTAAGAGCTAAAACTATAAAACTCTGAAGAAAACATAGGGCAAAATCTTCATGACTTGGATTTGGCAATGATTTGGATATGACACCAAAAACAAGGACAACAAAAGGAAAAACAATCTGGACTTCCTCAAAATTGAAACCTTGAAGTGGGTGCAGCGGTTCACTCCTGTAATCCCAGGTACTCAAGAGGTTGAAGTGGGAGAATTGCTTGAGCCTGGGAGGTCAAGGCTGCAGTGAGCTATGATGGCACCACTGCACTCCAGCTGGTG